CTACCTGTTGCTCCAGATAGGAAGCCTTCTGTTCCTGTCTCTCACCCAGATTCAGCTTAGCTGCTAGGCTCTTGTTCCCCTGGGCCCACGCTTGGGGGTGTTGGCTTCCCCACTTCCCTTCCTCCTGCTGCCGCCAAGTTGGTTGGGGCCCTCACTGCTCTCCCCACTGTCATTGTTTCCCTGCCTGGCTGCTCCAGGTAAGATCTCTCAGTGCTCCCCCTTGATGGTGGCTTGCTGGGTCGGGGAGGCAGGAGTCAAGTCAGGGATGGGGCCTGGACCTGAACATGCCAGAAGGCATGTCGTTGAATGGTTGCAGAGCTGCCCTTGGTGGTGGCAAGGGTAGCATTGGCATGCCCCACCAGCAGCCCATACAGCAGCTATTTCTCTACCTCAGTTCAGTTGGTCTGATGGTGGGCATTGCTATCGGCTGGGCCCGGTGTAGCCATGCCAGTATGCTACAGGGGAATGCAAGGGTGGGGCCAGAGACGGTGGGAACCTCTGGACCATGGAATCATCCCTACCCCCTTGGAAGAAGGACAGCAGCAGGGCCCCTTTAAGCCAAGGACACCCCCCCCCCGAGATTGCAATAGGTGATGGGGCCTGGAGGAGTGGCACAGGCCCTGGGGTGCAAAGAGGATCTCTGTGACCCCTGGTTGTACCAAGGCCTCCCTTGCCTCACACTAGGATGGTTGTCCTTCCACCCACCTCTCCTGCTAGTGATCTGGCTGATCCACCTCCTGCCCACATTATAGATCTGGGTGACATAGTGATGTCACAGGAGCTATTGTGAATGCACACTTGCCCTGCAGCTCCCCAAGAGCAGCTCCCCCTGGACAGGGTGGCCATCCTGTGCAGCAGGGCCAGGTGCCTGCCCTTAGGGCCATCCCCGTCTTGCCAAAGGTGCTACTGTCCCTCTGATTCCTCACCACAGGTTTGTTACAGGCAGGGGTCATTTCCTGCATGAGCGGACAGAAGCAGAGCTCCGGCAGTAAAGAGCCCAGGGGGCAGGCACATACAACAAGCCCAGCCCCCTGCTCCCAGCAGCTCTCAGTCAGAACAAGAAGCAGGCAGGTAACTCCCCCCCCCCCGGCTCCCCGGTCCAAAACAGTCCAGGGCGCCCTTTAAGACCAAGTTTTATTCAGGCACAAGCTCTCCCTTCTCTGCGAGGACAGATCTGCATGTCCCCCCCCCCCAATAGCTAGCAATCCAAAACAGTCCAGTGAAGCCTGTGTGGTGGGTGTTGCCTTCTGACACACTTCCGGTTATGTCAGGGGTGTGTGGAATATGCAAATAAGTTAGCTAATGAGCTATGCTAATGAGCTCCTGCACCTCTTTTTCTACGAAATGACCCCTGGTTACAGGTGGTGATGGCTGAGGTACTGGAAGTGTCCAAATCTTTGGATAGCCTCTGCTTCCTCATGCACCTACATGGGGCTGCCCTTGAAGACTGCCCAGAAGCTACAGTTGGTACAGAATGCTGTGGCCAGTATTACTCTGGTGGCTTCCAGTTTGCTTTTGGGCTTAATTCAAGGTGCTGGTATTGACCTTTAGAGCGCTATATGGCCTGGGAGCAAGCATACCTTAAGGTCCGCCTCCTTCCATATACTCCAGGCATCTTTGGAGGTCCCACTTCAGTTGCCCCCACCATCTGAAGCTGTATGAGTAGCAACCTGAGAAGGGGCCTTGTTGGTTGTGCCACCAAAACTTTGGAACTCCCTCCCCAGGGAGATTAATCTGTTTGTGTTGCAGGTGAAGACTTCTTTTGTTTCAGCTGGCATACCCCCGATAGTGGTTGCTGGCCCTTCTTCCAGTGTCTTCTTAAAAATAATTTTAACTGTAATTGCTTGGATGTTTGAATGTTTTTAATGTTTGCCACCTTCTGATAGGGTGCAAAGGTGGCATTAAAATGTTTAAAATAAATATAAATAGAATGTACACTTCTCCATGGAGGAGTTGGGCCTGACCCACATCCACGCTGGGTTCTCTGCATTTGCAGGCTGCCCAAATGTTACACTGGCTGGTTGGCTTCCCCTGTGCTTCTGGCCCTCCCCCTCAGAACTGTGCTGTGTCTGCTTCCTTTTGGTACTAAATGCTTCCCTGTTCATGCTCTCCAAGTGAGAATTTTATTGAATATTATACAGTAAATATTACACTGGAATGCAAAAAAGAAAACAAATTACAGCAAAGCCTGCATTTCCTAAAATTGTTAAAGAAAAACCACTGCAAAAATGAATATGAATAAAATTTTAGAGCCAATCACATCTTAACAATCCACAGTACCTACCTACCAGTTTGTTTTCAGGAACAATCCCAAATGCTGCTTTTGACTTGCAAAGCCTTAAATGGTCTGGGACCAGGGTTTCTAACCTTGTGAGGTTAGGTGGGAGGCCTTTTTGGTGGTGACACCAAGACTGTAGAACTTCCTTCCCAGTGATGCTTCTTGTTCTCCTTCTATCACTGTCTTCCACCAGTTGGTGAAGACTTTTTTTGTTCCTCTGGTTTCCCCTCAATAATCCCTTCTCACTGTTCTATGTTTTTAATTGATTTCTCTGTGTTTTTATATATGTACTTCAGTTCTGTTTTTTAATTCATTTTATAATGTGTTTTTATACTGTTCTGTTTTTAGTTGTTAAGCCTCCTTGGCTGCTGTAACAAGGCTGAAAGGAAGGATATAAATCTTTTAAATATAATAATCCATTCTAAAGAACTTCATACTCTCACAAAAACATGCCCAAGCATTACAATCATCTGTGGAGGCCTTGGATGTCTTTTCCTGTGGTGGTACTTAAATTATGCAACATTCTTTCTAAGTGTTAACAGTTTTATTTGCCCAAGCTTTTGGTGGCACCTAGCTCCTAAAGGGTAATTTATCATTCTTCTGATGTTTTATTGTCTGCAGTTTGTTTTGTTTTTACTTTATTGCAACATGCAATTATGTTGTTTAATATTATTTGTTGTAAGACACCTCTAGGGTCAATATTGGTTGAAAGGCAGGGTATGTTTTAGAAATATATAGACATGTTTACACTAAAAAGCCCTAGAAAATGTATGCCTATTTTCAAATAATATGCAGAAGCTATTAGCACAGATTGAATTGGTACCCAATGTTAGATTCTAAAGCTTATTTACCAATTATTTGTTTGGCACAACCACACATGTCTTGCCTGGGACCCCCGTTGCTAGGACCTAGTGAAAATGTGAATACAAAGTGGATGCTTTTCCTAACAATAAACATTATTGCAACACAAATTTATGGCAACATAAAAACATGAAAATGTGCTCTCTGGGTTGTTGGGAGATGCTAGTTTGAAATTTCCAGGAACGTCTGCTCTGCACATTTGGCTTGTTGTAAAGTGTCATCTGTGACAACATATCCAGTCCAACTTTCAAAACTTATGTACATAAAAAGAAAGCCCAGCTATGAAATAAATCACCCCGTGTGAGCTGTACAGTCAGCTGTTAATTCCCATAGAAAAGTGTCTCTGAAGGGGATGCTTTATAGATCCCATTCAATTAATAACAATAATCAAAAGCATGTTTCCCCCCCCAACATGGTTTTATTCATTTTACATTAACAACAAGATTAACAACAGGCTAGGCGTGTACATACAGCCTGCATATATTACTCAGGTTTGCTCCTAACTGTTCCATATGTGTAGTCCGTCCCGCTTTTAATGAAGGCAAAGCAGGGAAATTAAAACTCAGGCTTGCGCCTAAGTGTTCCATATGTGTAGCTTTGCCTTTAATGAAGGCAAAGCAGGGAAATTGCAGCTATCTACTACACAGCCTAACTAAACAAAATAGGAATCCAGTGGTGTCTAAAAGATTAACAACATTTATTCTAGTATAGGCTTTCACCAGTCACAATGCATCCCATCAGATGCACTGGAGCATGTACCCATCAGGTACATTAGAAACAGAAGGCGCTGGGGTGGGGGAGATATTCCCAAGAGAAGCCGGTGTGTAAACTAAACTGCAATAATAAAAAACAATCAGAACAAAGTTTGAGTCCAGTGACACCTTTAAGCCCAACAAAGTTTTATTTAGTATAAGCTTTCATGTGCATGCACATCAGTGTGCATGCACATGAAAGCTCATACCTTGAATAAAACTCTGTTGGTCTTAAAGGTGCCACTGGACTCCAACTTTGTTCTGCCCCTGTCCAGACTCATGGTGACTTACTAATGCTGTATGGTAAGAACAGATGTTAAGTAAGCAATTATTATTCTTATTAATTTATAAGCAAAAAGTATTTGATGTATGTAATGTTAATATTATTAACAAAAACAATAAAAAATTTATTTTAAAAAAAGTTGCTACTGGACTCAAACTTTGTTGTGCTGCTTCAGACCTGAAAAAATAATCAGTTCACTTAAGAATGGGTGAGGACCACTCCCAACTGTTGATAGGTAGGCAACATAAGCTTAACATCAAAATCTAGCGCAAGTTTAGCAGCACAATAGGAACAGATAGAGGTGTCGTCGTAAAGCGCCTGAAGCAGGGCCTAGGGACAGAAAACCAAGGCGACTGGGCCTGAGAAGCAACGAGTTAACAGGATGTTGAGGCGACTGTGAAGCGCGTGGCCCTCCTCCTCTCCTCCCTGCCCATTACCTGCACTCTGTCCTTGTCACAGCAGTTGAGTGGCGTTCCTAGGGGAGGGGCTAGGAGAGAAGGAAAGGGGGAGGGGGGAGCGGTTGGCGCACCTGTGGGGTGAGCGCCCTCCTGCCCGGGCCTGGCCTCTCTCCCGCGCAGGTTGAGGCGAGCACACCGCTCCCCGCCCTTCCCCCCTCACCCCCTCTGGGGAGGCGGGAGACGCTGCTGCTATGACAGCTGCGAAGGCGTTCGCCTAGCAGGCGCGCTTTGCATAACAAGCGAAAGGTGTGTGCGCGTGTGGGGCTGGTTGCGGGCGCGCGCCGGCAGCCGGAGTACGGCGGGAGAGCGCCCAGCCGACCGAGGGAAGGCTCCCCCCGGCATGTAGGCTGCCTGGAGGCTTCGTCAGGATGCAGCCCGCGTGTGTCAGGGCCGACTCGCTGCTCCTCAGCCGCAGCCCCGCCGCCACCGCCACCGCCAGAGACCAGGAGCAGCAAGTGCAGCTCCGGCAGAAGCTGCGGGAGCTGCCAGCCTTGCTCCGGAGCGGACTCACGCTGCGCAGGAAGAACTCCGCCGCTGGAGGCCGGGTGAGTGGGCGAGCGAGCGAGAAAGAGAGCGACACCTGAGTCGTCGCGTAGTCCCGAGAGCCCCCGTGGTGGAGCAAGGGGAGCGCTCCTGCCCGACGCGCCGAAGCCCACCGCAGAGTAACGGGCAAGTTGGGCAGCAGGCACTCCGGGCGAGCCTCGGGCGCGCAGGGCTTCCTCCGCCCGGCCGCCCTCGCTGCTTCTGCTGGGGTTTCGCGCTCGGCTGGGCGTCAACAGAAAAGAATGGCTTGGAGCGCAGCGAACTCGCGAGCAGCTGTGGCGGCCAACAGGGAGAGAAGGTAGCGCCCCCGAAGGCACCTGTCTTCTCCTGCGAGGCTGGGGGAAAGGCAGTGGGATTCCCAAGGCAGCCGTTGGATGCCGGGTTCCCGGGCCTGCCACTGCGTGGCAGGGGGGGCGGGGTGGGGGGGGGGGGGGTTGGCTTCTGGAGCACTAGTTGCCGATGGAGGAGGAAGGGTGCGGGCAGGCACCTCACTCCCTCCCGGGAGGAATTTCGTACTTGAGGGTCCTGCAGCTCAACCGTCCCCGTGCTTAGTCAGTTCAATGGGACTTCCCCCGAGGGTTGCCAACTCTGGGTTGGGGAATACCTGGAAATTTGGGGGGTCGAGCCTGGGGCGGGGAGGGACTTCAGCGAGATATATTGTCTTAAGAGTCCATCCTCCGAAGCAGCCATTTTATCAATGGGAACTGATTTGTGTTAGGAGATAAATTGTAATTCCGGGAGGGCTCCGGGGCCCGCCTGGCGGTTGGCAACCCTATCTTCTCTCAAGTAAAATGTGTCTGGCTGGCTTCTTAAGATAACTATAGTGTATCTTGGTTGGTACAAACTGATGTGGTGACTTATTTATTTTATTTATAGCCTGCCTCTCTCACTGAGACTCAAGGTAGATTACAAAGGATGGGGAGAGAGAAGCAATCATAAAGTATAGGACTGAGAGAGCTAAAGTCAGTTTTATGTACGTATCTAGTAACAGTATGGTGCTTTGGAATGTATAGAGTACTTCACTTGCATAATGCTCACAATAGCTCTTCAAGGTATGTTGTTGTTTATCCCCGTACTGCAAATGGATGGGGTGTGTGTGTCCTGAGGCTGAGAGCATAGGTTACCTAAAGCTGTTTGATGAGTTTACAGAGGAGGTGAAGATATGATCCATCCAAGGACTTCCTGAACTATAGCCTGGAGTCTTTTGCCATTGCACACCTGCGAAGTAGTTGGTTGCCCACAATTACACCACAGGAAGAGTGCAATCCTAAGAAAAGTTACTCCAGTCTAAGCTCATTGATTTCAATGGGCTTAGACTGGAGTAACTCTTCCTAAAATTGCACTGTAAATCAGTAAGTTGCTACAGCACTTTTGTATATTGATGGCCCTTTCACTGATTGTTAGTCTGATCACTTCCCATGCACAGCTCATTTGAATTAAGTTCTATTGAGTTCAGTAGTAAACATTTTATTTAGTATAAATTTAGTATAAAGTTTACTTAGTATAAATTTTGATGGATTAGAACCATATGACAATGAAGTGTGCTCTACTCCATGAAAATTTATGTTGGAATAAAATCTTTTGAAGGCACCACAAACTGTTGGCCCCTTTCCCAACAGTCTATTGTGGCTACCCCTCTGCATCCAATAGGATTTAACCCCAACTAAGAATATACTAGGTTTGCAGTCTTGGTGGTCTTAATACCTCTCCTTGGCCCAGACTATTCAGGGAGACAGATCAAATGAAGTATGAGGAAACATGAAAGACTCAACGTTCAAGTAACCTTGATCACCCACTGGTATGCACTGTCTGGATGTGTAATGTACGAATTGGATTATCAAAATGACAGTAAGCAGCAGTTTCCACAATACATTGCTGTTGGTTGCATTGTCCATAGGAGCAGTACAGAGACTGGTTTTGTGTAGAGTAAATTATCTTGTGTCAACTTTATTTTCTGTTGCTTCAAGATATAACAACACTTGATTTGTATATGGACTTTTTACTGGTCATTTACCAGAAATGGAATGGTATTTTATCATCCATAGATTCATTCTACGTATTGTTTTTTTACTGGCCAGAGAGGGACCTGCTGACTTTAACTGGCTTGTGTGCTCTAAATTTTAAACTGAATTTATAGTCCTGTTTAATCCATAGACATAAATTAGGACTTGATCAGATTAATGGAAGTGGTGGTAATTAATTTTAGACAAATCTTATGAATTATACAAAGAAACCATATATTTGTAGTAAGTTCTTGGTTAAAAAGCTCTTGAGGCTTATCTGTGTAGCTATAACTGTTTTCTGGGCTTCTGTCTTTGGGAACATGTGAATAATGGAGCTTGGAGGTTAGATGCCTCATAGTGATAGATGTGTAGCATTTGAGAACAAACCAAAGCATAGGGTGTGGGTGAACCCCTAGTCATTGTATGTCACAATAATTTTCTTTAAAATTACATGAGTACTCAATGCTCTGTATAAACAGTAATTACTTGCTAAAATTATACCTGCATAGCATCAAGAGAGGCTCTGAAATGAGGTTACTCACAAATAACACATTTGCCATGTCCTAGTTAACGCAGTCCTTCATTAATCGGTGAGTTATAAAAGTGTAATTACTGTTGTCAGACTACCGTTTGCAAATAGGGACTACAAGATAGAGAGAAGATAAATGACAATACCAAGACAGGTGATTGACACAGTCGGAAATATAGCCAAAAATCCTTGCCTCCCAGTTGTGCATTTTGGTAACTAATTAGTATTCCTAAAATTACAGGTAGAATAACAAGTTCCGATGGAAATAAATTATAACGCTTTAATCTGGCAATTTGATATGTGTCAGAGACCTATGGTTTGTGCTTGCATCTTCACATATAAATTGTTTACTCATTGGGCAGCTAAAATCTTCTGAAGACTACTTGAGTGATCACTGTTAGGTAATTGTAATGCTACATAACAAATACAAATAACTAGTAGAGGTTACAAGAGATGATGTTGAAAATAATTAATTTGGAGGAAGAACAAATCTGGACAGATTGGCTTCCAAATCATCTAGTATTATGTTGATATTCAAGACAGATTTGCAGAAATTAAAGGCAGTCTCACATTACCATTTGCTTCTATTTGCTGCCAGCAGAAGGTGAACATATATGTGCATGTGCTGAGATTGCAGGATCACAAGTGCAAACAGCATAAACATTTGAAAAGAGCCACATCAAAGAAAAATAAGGATCACAAGTGCAAACAGCATAAACATTTTTAACATGGGAAAATGTAGTGTTATCACTTGAAAAGAGCCACATCAAAGAAAAATACAGAATGAGGGAGAGGGGAATTATTATTTCGCTGCAGTGGTTAATGCCTCTTTCTAGTTATTAACTGGGGGGAAATACCTCTCTGCAAACACTAAAAAAAAATTGAGGTAGAATGAAAGGTGTGGTGGATGGTATGTTAAGAAGTTCAGTTAACCTGCATTGTAGGGGTGTGATTGACTGTAGTTCCATGTATACTGCAGTGTGACACAAAGTCCCCATCTATACTCTATAAAGCAATATGATATTACAACATGGGTGGGTCTTGATGTATAGTGAAGCCTTGTGCATGTAACCTAGTACAGTGCTGTACTTGAACCCTGCGACCATTACTTGTACATGTAGTCCTCACTTCATAGTTCTTGCTGTGCCAATCATTTCTGAGCAGCTGACCTCTGGTTGATTGCAAATCCAGGGCTTTTTTTGTAGAAAAAGCCCAGCAGGAACTCATTAGCATATTAGGCCACACCCATGACAGCACAGCTCATTAGCATATTGGGCCACACCCTGTGTTACCAGAAGTGTGGTCATCCAGCCACACCCACCTTTTGCTTCTTATTCTGTTTACCTTGTTTGTTGTCAAAACCCAGGGCTTTTTTTGGAGCAGGAACTCCTTTGCATGTTAGGCCACAGACCCCTAATGTAGCCAATCCTAATGAGTTCCTGCTGTTGGGTGTAGCCTATTATGCTAATGAGTTCCTGCTGGGCGTGGCCAACTTGGGAGCCAGCCGGAACTCCGTTCCTGTGCGTTCCTGCCCAAAAATAGCCCTGTGCAAATCTATGCTGATGATATTCCCAGGAGGATCTCTTCCCACCTTTCCAGGTCTTGGTCAGGCAAGGAATTATTATCTCTGGGTTGTGGGCAGTACAGACAGTTTATCTCCTCTTCTACTAATACTGTATGGGAAGGGCCCCACTGCCCCGCACACTGCAGAGAAAGAGGATTAACTTCCCGGTTTTGGGGTGGGAGAGATCTGTTACCTTAATTTGTCTTTTATTTCAGGAAAGTTACACAGGGGAGTAAAACGAAATAAATATTTTTACTTATAGGTAGATGTAGAATCTGGTACACCTGCCAGCCTTAGTATTTAAGGGAGAACTATGCCAAGGCATGTTATTGTCATTTCTGCATTTCATCAAGGAGATGCTTGTTTAGCTCCTCCACAGCTCTCTTCATCTGTGTACATAAAGCTTTATATAACGCTAATATTTTATGATGCAGTTTGTGTGTATAAGGCTTAAGTCAGCTGCTAAATTTTTAATTAATATTTTGTGTAGATGGGAGGAGGCTAAGTGTGTTCTGTTCATTGTTGTGTTGTGAGATATATTATTGTTTGTTTAGCACTCCAGAGTTTTAATAATGCAGGTTTATGTCTAATGAGCTCATCAGATGGTTTGCATTAGTACATGGTGAACCTGTTTTAGGGTAGTGGATTGGGACCAGTCCCTGGGATCCATTAATGCCTGAAATTGGTGACATAGTTTGTACAAAAATAGCAGCTATAATTTAAATTGGTGGTTTTTGCTTTTATAGCATGGATGTTTATTACCATAAAGGTGCAGTTAGATAATTTGTAGTAGGTGTCATTATGTGACTAAAAATAGACCCTATGTACAATACTGAGTTGTAATTCTCTGTTTATATAGTCTCCAAGGAAACTAAATCAAAATAAGCTTCTCTTAGATTTTTCCCT